AATTTAAAAAAATGTGGAGTTTTATGGAAGAAGAATTTTTTGGTGGGTTGAATTTCAGGATTTAGTTTTGAAAGCTTTAGATTAGAAAGCATTGAGCTCCTTTTGTCTTACCTGGATGGAAGTTCTTTACCTGTGCTCACTAGCTGAAGCAAGAGCCGATGGGAACACCAAATGGAATAAAATACGTTGAGCTGCTGTTTAGTGTGACAAATTTAATATTTTGATTGTTTTTTCCTGCTAAGTGTTAGTCTGCCAATGGACAGCTGCAGTGTAAATTACTACCCATTACACTTTGCATTGGGATTTTGTATACAGTATGATACATTATGCATAAGATTTTTGCAGGGGCAAAAAGAATCCGAGTAGATTTTAGATGAACATATCTAGTGTATGAAAAAGCTATTGAAGAATAGATTGCATTAAATATTTACCAGCAAGTCAGTAAAAATCATCCTTATAGGTAGATGTTCAATATAGTTTAGCATTCTAAAAATAATTTTTAAATTTACCCAATATGTATTATATCTTTTGTGATATAATTGGAAAAAGCAGCCACTCCTTTATGTTAACATGAGAATATGCCTATGTTTCTTTTAATTTTACAGCCTTTTTTTCTCCAAATAAATTTATTAAATTTTGTGCACAAAATAGTACTGCAGCCTGCTATTTAGCCTACGGTGCCTTAGAGTCATTACAAATATTTAACAACGTGTACATAATGTAAATACTGCCGAAAGATCACTAAGGCCAAATATTTTCTCTATTCACTTTTTACTGCACTTGCTTTCTATTGCTATTTAAGCCCCTTTTATCCAGCTTTGTAACAGTTATAAGATTGTAGCCAATGTAAATGTTTACTTTCAATAAATCTGAATTTGTTCAACAAGTACTATGCATTTGGGCACTATTTTGAGAACTTTGTTCAAAGTTAAAACATTCTTCTAAGAAGTAAACTAATCTGATACTATTATTTCTTGACTTTCACTGGTCTCAACAACATCGAAAGTTTATGGGTAAAACTTTTCTGCAGTGATCTTTTTAAAAATACTTAGGTGAACAGAAAAACTAGCTTTCCATGCTGTGTTTATCTTAATAGGCTTCACCACTGGTTCAAAATACAAATACAGAAAACAAAACAGTATTTTGCATGCAGAGTGTTGTATAAAATGCAGAAGCATGTCACAAGTTGCATTTTGTAATTGATTTTAAAGAATAAGTCCTTTGTCTTGTTTTTTCTGTAGAACTGGTTTTGTCATGAAAACACCGCAAATATATGAAGAACCATGTCATACTTAATGTGGGTATGTTTAAAGTATAAATGCACATCTGCAACTCATAAAATATACAGACATTTGTGGGACTGGTTATTAATTCAGTGAATGTACTATTTTTTCCATTGCCTATGAGAATATTTTATTTTTTAATTATATATGAGTGGATATTAACTTGTATCTTTTGAAATTTTTAGCTTTTGCTTTGTAAAAGTTGTTATTTTATTACTGCAGATTTTGGGCTGCAATAGTGAAACTAATACTATTATTTTGAATGCTGGTAAGTATTTTACACAAATATAAATATGAGACAGAGGAAAAAATATATCATTGCTACCTGAAAAGACTGATAATTTGCCTTTGATTGGTGTCTAGAGGCTGGAGCTTGAATTCTGTGATGCAAGAGAGATTCCTTATTTTGGGGAGCTCGGAGCTGGAAAATGCTGTGACTTCCAAACGTGCAAAGCCAAGGATTAGATCAGTGGTGAAATCTCAGACTCCCAATAAAATCAGTACCCACAGATAGCAGGAAGGACAGGATTTGTACTAACTTTGGCCTAACTGCTACTCCATTACCAAGTCACAGCATCTCAGGGTCTCTCATTATGCACCGTCAATTTTCCAGTAGGAAAGTTTATTACATATTGTATTCACCTATTGAACAGTGTAGTGCGGGGCACGAGAGATTAACAATCCAGACATTAATTGGCAGCAACACAAAAGTATTGCAACAGAACAGGGCTGCTTTCAAATGCACATGCTGCTTTTATGACAGGAGGAGAAGCAGAACGTCTTCTAGGAAGAGATATTGTGGCTGTTGAGAAGAGTATGTGCTGTATTCATTAAAATGTATTTACACATTTGGCCAGCTTCCTTGTTGCAAATTACAGTGCAGTGCGAATTGCAGCAGATAATTTTGCACAGATCACATAGCTAGGGCCCTCTCCAAGAGGAATTTGTCCACCTATAATATTGGGAGGATGCTTATAGGACTGCAGTAAGTGAATGAAGCCAATAGCAGCTGAGGCCCACAGCTTTGCTACGCTCAGCTATCAACACAATGAAAGCTCTCTAATCACTAAAGACAAGAAATCTTAAGGAATGTAGCAAGACTTACTTTAGGGCTCAGTACCTTGAAAAAGCCTAGTATGAAAGCAGGTGAAAAAGAGGAAAAGCACATGAAAAAAATACAGTTGATTTTAAATTGGCATTTTTTGTTAATCCACATAATAGCTCCCTCAGGATGATTTTCTTAAATGTGGCAAACGTTTTCCATTCAAGTTAGAGGGAGAGAAATGGAATTCAATAAAAGGAAATTAAAGCATCAGAACTGGGCATAAGACCCTTTTAGTAGCAGCTCTGAATGCAGCAAGCTCTAGTGCAAGGCATCAACTATTGGATTTCATCCAGTTTCAGAAAACTGGCATTCTGCAAAATGCTGAGGCTGTGGGAATAACACTAACAGCAGGAAGAGTGACTGCTGCCGAAGCAAGAGCAGCACAAGTCTCAAGAGGTTATGTCTGGAAAAAAATACAGGAACTCCTGGCTTAAGGTTTGTCCAACAAAAGCCAGAGCTTATCATCAGCCAAGCAATTCTAATTTGTAACTTTTAAAGAGAAAGCGTTCCATTGTTTGGGGGGAAATGAGAAAAAAAAATGTTTTCTTCAA